TAAAGAGATTGAAGATTTATAAATGGCTATTCACAGCCAAACTTCGTTCTACATAAAACACGTGATGTTCAGCTGTTGTTTGCTGTATACACTTCGAATATTCTCATCAAATGTTTTTCGCTTCACTATCCCGTCCAACAGGAAAATCAGAATTTAAAAGGCAAGTAAATCTTTGAAATTGTTGTGGAATATGATAAACTAACAAATTCGCACATATCCTAGTTCGATAAATCTCATTAAAATGGAGCTTTCTTACAAGGGTGTTATGTGTATATGAAAGAAAACAACCTGTATTTTTTTCTGTATATTCTTGTGTTATAGATATCACAAAATACATACTGTACACTAGTACACTACAGTATAGACCCTCTGTGATTTATATACAATCATAGTTTCAATTGTATGAAAATGATGTTCTTGTAATCTCCATTGTAGAGCAAAGGCCGCGCGAATCATTTGTTTTATGTTTATCAACTCGAACTGGAACACGCGATTGGAACAAGATGGCTTCCAGCAATGGGAAATATGTTAAAAATGTAGTGGATATGTATTTGTGTTCTCTTCATATCATGAAAGGGTAAGTAATTTTTGAAATTGTATGCATAAATTGTTTGTCTTAAGGGACCGGTCATTATTAATGGCCGGGGGTGGGACCGAAGAGAAACTCCCAAAGTCCAAAAAAAATTTTTACCCACCCATTCAACATCAATAAATTTTCCCTGACCCACCCAACAATCTTTCAGGTTTTTTCCTAACCAACCCCACCGAGTTTGCTTATATACAATATCACAAAAAAGTGGTATTGACGAGTATACCTGTCAATGTTCCACCAAATCGAAAGCCGTGGAAATTACACACACTGGTATTAACTGGTCGAGAAGCACGTTTATGTTGAGTATTATAATAGCAAGTTGGCAAGAAGAGATTTATTATATTATTGACCACTGAAATTGACCATGCACTGAAATTGACCCGATCTTACATCATCGGAATTCATGGGAATTATAATGAATATCATGTCTAATCCCCAGTTGTCCCTCGAATTCCTGTAAATCACATGGCACGTTGTTGTTTTGAAGGAGAATCTAGTGAATATTCGAGATGGCTGAGAATTTAACGTTCGAAAATTTTATGTCTTCATTGAAATTTACTGAGGAATATCTGCAGCGTTTTAAAGACACTGGCTTTGACGATGTGGAGTTGATCAAGACCATGGATGCTGAAGAGAAACAACAAATGTTTGATATTGTTGGCTTGGTCATTTGTTGAAATTCAAGAAAGCTCTTTCTAGTCTTGAAAAGCCATCGATTGACATCGTTGGAGGCACGAATGATATAAATATGAATACAACACCAACGACGACCAAGCCGACTTGTGTTAAACGAGGAAAGGCTCAATGTAGTAAGTGGATTTCAGGAAGGGTTAATTCCCAATTGTTGATTCCCAATTGTTAATTCCCATTTGTTGGAAAAGATACAATGACTTCCCTTCAGATGTTAAGGTAGATGATGTCTCCAAAAGCCAACGTGCGGTTGAGCATTTTAATGGAACTATAAGTTCATTAAAGTCCTTGAAAGATCAACTGTTGTCAAGGAAAAAGGAACTCTATAATGAACATATGGAGGAAAATTCATGGGCTGGTGATGAAATTAAATTTATTTGTGAATCAATTTTCCAAATTGAGGAAATGATGAATGGAATTGAAAAGATCATGCATGATGTTCAGCATGTAATGCATCAACTTGAGAAGAGGTTTGATGCAGCTGATGTTCGAAAGACTGAAAAGAGAAGACGGGCCAGGAGAGATAAAGAAACCAGAACAAAACTAAAAAAGAAAAAAAGGATTGTGCAAGAAAGGCATGAAGCACAAGTGGCTGAGCAAGTGGAATGTGCAAGTTTTTCCTCAGTTGAGGATGCTCTTGTTTATAACATTGATGTTGAATGACTGACAGACAGTATCCTAAAACAGTACATTGTATTATTGTACAGTATTTCATGTAGTCTCAGTATTTTAAGAATAATATAAATTTTATCTATGCTAAAAAAATTTTACCCACCCCAACCACTATTCCATTTTTCTTAACCCACCCTTGGGTACCTTCAAATTTTTCTTTACCCACCCCTTTTCTCTTCGGCCTTAATTCCACGGGCTAAATTTTCAAGCGAAATGCGAAATATTTCTCCTGCTTCTTTTGAATTGTGAGCAATGATGCATAATTAATTGATTCAAGCGGTCAAAATTCAAAAGAAACAGACGAAATATTTCGCATTTCGCCGAGAAAAGGCGCCCGTGGAGTTAGGCCCTTAGAGTTAGGCCCTTAGAGTTAATATGTGGATATCAACATGTTTCATTGTGAATTTTAAAATTTAGAGAATGGCATCGACGATATGCCTATAGAAATGTCCATTGCAATAATCTGTTTAGTAAAACTCTTGAAGGCTGCTGAACGGCGTTTGCATCAGCGCAAATAAAAAAATAAAACAATGCTGGCAGCAGATCATGAGGTTTGTTTGCCCCAGCAACCCTTTTGGACTATAATATGGTTGACATCTAATATAGGATTTCTTCATTTGTCACCTACATTCATTGAAATCTACAAAAGCTTTATAAAAACTAATAGCACTATTATAGAGCACCTGTATTATATATATTTTTGGAAGAAACCATGTAATTTTGCACTATATCAGTGATGACATAAGCCTTATATGGGGGGCACCTGTTCCTCAACACACACAGTGCCCCCCTGGCAAAAATCCTGTTTACAGCCTTGGGGCCAGTTGTTCAAAAGGTGCATGGATAAAGTTATCCACTGGATAGTGACCTAATTTTTCAACTGTCGTAAAAAAGCTTTGAAAAACAAGAAAGCTACTTATGACCCTTAAAAGTATTTTAACTTCACAACTGTGAAGTTAAATCTTGGCTATGCCAAGTGGTGAAGATATGGCATATATAATTGCCTGGATTTTGCCCATAATTGCACACTGAAACCTCCCACCAGATTGTTCAAAAACCTTATCTGGTAAACAGTATCATTACCTGCTCAACCAATATCAGCCATTCAACCATCAGTACCAATCTGGATCTGTATTTATATATGCTTAAATAGTTGCAATTATAGCATAGTAAATTCATATACCTGCGTAATATATGTTTGTTTCTGTAGGCGAGACCTAAGATCTCTTGCTTCTTTAGCAATGTTGCACCATTTCGCAGAATGTTTCTCGGTGAGCAGTTTTCGTTTGTTACACTCTCTGCGACCTTTCGAGGTAAAGCTTCAGATGCGGTCGAACGCTTAATTATGGCGCGCTGTTGACGCATTCTTTCTTCGATGACGCATTCGTTTATTCGGGCCTCAAAGTTGGCTTTTTTTCGTGGCTTTTTCACCGGAAGTGACGTACATTGGAGAACAGAGGGACCTGTACATGAAGAAAGAAGGCTGCTTTTATTTTGCAAAACATCCGGACTATCCCAGTGTCAGATTGGAAAGTGAAATAGATAAAGGCACTATATTATTACATATAAAGCACGTGTTTTCTTGCCTGTTGATTTCCAAAAGCTGTTTGAAAATACTGACATTTCACCCTATTGTTTCTTTAATTGACGATATTGACGATACGAATTTCTATGTTGATTTGTACTATATTACACTGGCGAAATTTGACTCATGAAATCACAGGATCGAACTATCTAAATTCTCCCGCAAAATCCGAAAGCAACCATCCTCGTAGTACAATTTTCTTTAAGAATTAACTTCAAGATATTAAAAATTTTAATAAAAGTAATAATATGAAACCAGACATTTTTCTCCGATTTTATTTTTCTGTAACTTACCCATTGCAATACCCAGGCTTGTCAAGTAGTTCACGTTGTTCCTGTGGAAAAGGGGACGCCCTTAGAATTGCCACTGATAGTGTAGTGGTATTATAGCATGTACACCGCTTAAAAATAGTGGTAATCCAGAAAAGAAGAGGGGTTAGAGACTCTCCTTTCAAAATATATTACAAAATTTCTACTTGTTTTCGTACGAAGAATTTAAAACTGCGGAGTCGGGTACTGTTTTGAGGATTCAAACAAACATCTGATGTTTCTTGATGACATGTGGATTTTGAAGTTCCACTGGTATATCGCTGTAGGATGAAATAAGTTCCGATTAAATTTCCTGCAGTTACACGTAATTGTAGAGATATGAATCCGATCAGCATAAGTATATCGCTCATGCATATATATGTTGAGTTGAGCCTAAATTTAGTGTGTATATTTAATATAGTGAATACCAAACAATATCTGACGATACTGTATACGCCAATGGCAATGGCCGAATAGCCCAATATAAACATCTCTTAGTGGTAGTACCTTGTTGCAGCAAATTATAGTAATGACACGTCTTTGCATGATAACACCTTTGTACAGCACAAATGCCTCTGAAAATAGTCAAGAGAACTTTCATGAACTGTGGGGATTACTACCTTATTTTAAGGGCAAAATATTGCGAGGGTGGTTATACAACCTGTGCACCTATACAGTAGATAGTAAATTATTCAGTGTATCGACCGTGTAAGAAAATGGGTACATGGTATGTAGAATTTGAGCTACAAACCTACTTACCAACGGTCAATGAAGTCATTTACACTTGCCTTGGCCGTGTGTTTTCTTGTTCAAGAACCTGGGGGTGAATGCACAGCTGGTCACCTGATCCTGGCACACATACGTTCGGTCTCAAACATAAAACAATAGAAAACGTCAATTTCAACAGTTAAATCTTCGTTTCCCGGTTTTGCTTACCTAAACGTGAGAAACACAGGAGTTTCTTGTAAAACATCCGAGGCTCGTATCAATTTTTTTGACGGTCTGTTATCAGGATGTGTTTGACTTGTATGTTTCGATCATAGTTTCATGTCCATAGCTTGTTTCATGTCCAGGATGCACGAAATTATTCCTAACTTTTAATTCTAAACCTCACCCTAACCCTGACCTAATTGCTTATACTAAAAGATTTGAATCAAGGATTATATTCGCGGACACTGGACATGAAATTATTACTTATTTCCACCAAATCTGACAGGTTTTTAGCAGATTCGCCAACAAGCTTATTACTATACAAGGTTTTAAACTTGACAAGCCGTCTTAAATGTATGTGTTTAAAGACTTTGGTATTAATACGTCGAAAAAATACAGTAGACACCATACCTTTCTTTAGCAAACAACAAGAAACAGCACCTTGTTCTCTGGGTTGCAAACGTTTTCATAAAATCCTTCCATTGCCTAAAACAGACCATAAATCCTTTGATAAACCTCAATCAGCTTGTTCATTGCGAGTTATTTAGTTGAACATAACCTCCTGATCAAAATGATCCGTTTTTCGTCCTCGTAAAAACGTACAGATGAACTGTTTAACTATATATTCATTTGTTAAAAAGTCTAGTCTTAAGATTTCGCTGGATGGCAATAGAACTAACCTCTGTAAATTCGTTTTTTCGTCGTGGCTCAACAAAAATAGTTTTTTGTGTCTCAAGTCGGTTCCATAGACCAAAACTCTTACAAAACAAAGGATAATCATTGTGAATTAACGTAACGGACTAGGATATGAAATATCGTTCCTATATCAGTTTTAACAACACACAAAACCCTAACCGATTTAGAATTTCGATCTAAGGAAGCACCATCAAAAGGTCCAGTAAGATTAATCTGTATAAAAATCACATTAGCTGTATTTATACAAGAGACGAACAATTCATCGGGACGAACCTACACAAATTTTATATTAAAAGGTAATATGAAACCAGACATTTTCCTACGATTTAATTTTTTTAACTTACCTATTGCAATCCCCATTTTTGTCAAGTAGTTCACGTTGTTCCTGTGGAAAAGGGGACGCCCTTAGAATTGCCACTGATAGTGTAGTGGTATTATTGCATGTACACCGCTTCAAAGTAGTAGTAATCCAGAAACGATGAGGGGTTAGAGACTCTCCTTTCAAAATATATACTAAAAAAATTTCTACCTGTTTTTGTACGAAGAGTTTAGAACTTTTGAGGATTCCAACAAACATCTGATGTTTCTTAATGACATGTAGATTTTGAAGTTCCACTGGTAAGCCCTTATAGGTTTCCTAAATCAATCACCGTTATTAAAAAATGACTATACAAAAGATCATCTTGTAGCTTAATGTTATGGTGGACGTAATTGATCACCTTTGTCGCCACCAGCTGCTTTGCTGGTTGACCAAACATCCAGTTGCTTCCTCTTCCAACCGTCATTCGCTTGCTGTTGAACATGAACCTAAAAAACACAAGAAACTTAATTTGGCTACAGCAATACATGAATTGTCTCATTTTTCATTAACTACCTGCCATGCAGAGTTTACTTTTAATACACACAGGTTGAGATGATTGCACCGTAAATGTGCCAGCTTGTTGCACATCTTTCTTTTCGCTCGACCCTAATGCATCGCTGTTCTGAAAAACTACCTGGGATGCAATAATGTGGAAAGATTGGACTAGATTTTATCCGTGAAAATGATTGTTTACGAAAATGATTGTTTACAACAATTACGACACAAAGGAAACCAGGTTAACGACTGCTTGAAGACATGTAGATAAGTGGAGCTACAAGAAAGCTATTACAGCAATAAACGTCAAAAATATCAACATACGAGCCCTTTCCCCAAATTTCTACCACTAAGTCTTCTATCATGTCAAAGACTACTGTATACGTACTTTCAAGGCGTCCGCGAACTGTCTTTGTATTGCACCACCAATTTGATCTACATTGAAGAAGATTTGCTTAAATAATGTATGCATTTCATTTCCCAGTTTTAACAATAGGTTGCTGCAATACTGGCATATTGAATCATGCAGAGCTTGCTCCAACTCGATAATCGCCTAAAATTCTTTGCACATCCAAATTTAACAAATGAAATGTTGAAACAAGCTCGGAAACCACTTCATAAACTCACTTGCAACGGAAAATGAAATCACTTTCTCGAGTGATTTCGTACTTTGACCAGAAGTTCGAAAATGTAACTGGGTGACAAAAAGACAAAAGACTGCAAAAGTTAAGGCATTTCTAACGAGGCTGCAGTCATATAATGCTTGTTTCAACAATGTTTTCAAATAAATTGTATACTGCACCTGCCGGGATGTGTAATTATTTGGAGGATGAAGATGTTACAGTATGCAATTCTTCCTCTAGCTTCAAGACCAAGCCTGGAAAATAAACAAAATTGACCCAATTATAATACGAAATCAGGCTAGCAAATCACGTCAAAAGAGGAGGCTGGGTATTATAAATGAACTAGCCGTAATCTGATTGGCTTGATAACCGATGCAAATCACTAGCTGTTCAATGAACTGCGTACAGCTGAGAAGAGGTATACAAAAATATTCCTAGCCACCATTTTAGTATTCCTCAATTTCCATTCGTGGCTTCACCTACTACACGTTCCAGGTATATTTTTATTGATTATATTTACAAGAGGCCCATTTTGATGTGCGGTTTCAATCCTGATATCATGACTGGCAACCGAAAGCTATACATATACCTTTTATGTATGCGATTTCCTGTTTATCCAAATCTCCATCATCTGGTAAACAGAAATACGAGATTTTTAACACAGCTGATTGTACAAAAAGGCGATCAACTATGGTTAGCGGCAGAATTGCTCAATCAGAATCCTCTCTTTAGGGGGTACATTGATATTTCGCAAAAGATTTCTTAATTTACGAAACTTTAAGAACCATACCAGAGAAATTCTAACAGTGGTATGACAACTTGAGGCGTTGGCGAAAGTTTAGTAAACTTTTCCAGATATGTTGGGAGCAGTCTAACGAAAATTTAGAAATTATTGCTCAAAAACCTTGTATTTGTGAAGGAGTATCTCGCATAACAAGAGACGTTACATTTAGGCTGGAGTTTG